ACTTGTGCATGTAAAGTTTATCCATAGAAAAAATGCTCAATAGTGGTTGTGGAGAGCTGGAGAAGCACACCCCCCAGAGCACTGAGTCCAGCGCCGGAAGACCCAAAGCCCCAGGCGTCCAAAGGGACCCCAAGAGCAAAGGCACCAAGGAGGGGCCAGCTCTGGAAATCGGACCCCCACCAAGGGAGGAGGAGAGGCAGCCCCCAAGAAGCCCCCCAGCCACCGCCATGCCGGCGCCCTGGGGAGCCGCGGAGGCGAGTCCGCGGGCTCCGCTGGCAGCCGGCCACCCTGCAGTAGGGCCGGGCAAAAAACAGCGGCACCCCCAAGGCACCGACCGAAACGCCCCGGCCCCACAGAGCGACGAAACAAGCCCCGGCGACCGGCCGCAACACCCAACGCGACCGCACCACCCCGGAAAAACACACAGGCGGCTGCGGCTGCGCCCACTGCCGGGGCCCATGCGCATCCGCCGCGAACCGGCCGCAAGCGCCTCGGAACCCCCCAAAACGCCCCCCAGGCCAAAAGCGCTGCCCCGCCCCACCAAGACAGATGCCAACAGCGCGCAACGCAACACACCGCGCACAGAACTGACGCAAGAGCAGAAAAGTCACCCGGCGCCCGACCGCCAGAAGAGCAGACCGTAGCTGGCGCAACCACCCCCCCAGCAGCCCGCGGGCAGCACAGAGCCAGAGTGGAGCTAACCACGCCGCCCCCCCACCGGACCAAGCCAGAGCAGCACAGCCATGCCTGCCGCCCCTCCTCGCCGCCCGCACAAGCCCCCAACACGCCGCTGAATCACCTCCACCGCCCCGACGCGAGCCGGTCGGAGCCACTCCACCAAAGCAGCTCCACCATGCCTCCAAGCGGGAAAACCCACCCGAAGACCCAATCAGCGCAGCCAGCTCATCCACACCAGCCCCCCAACACCAACCCCGCCGTAGCCACCCAGACACCCACACACCAGCGGCGCGCCGCCAGCAGGACCCCCACCCAACGGGGCCGCCCCCCGAGAGAACAGACATGCCAATACCCCCCCCGGAAAAAGAACGGCAAGCAGAAAAGCCCCCCCAATGGGACAGTAGACACCAGACATTGACCTGCCCGCAACCGCTCCCCCACCGGGAGAAAAGAAATAAATAAATAAATAATAAATAAATGTTTCTAAATAAATAAATAATAATACACACACACACATATATATATATATATATATATATATATATATATATATATATATATACATACATATAAAAAAAAAAAAAACATTCCCCTAAGCAAGAGGAGAAATGCAAGCGGAAAAACCAGAGCCCAATACAAAAGCCAAGAACTGCACCTCACCATGCAGTGCAGCTCCCCTCCCCCCCGAACCGGTACCACAAGACCAGCATCGGAAAAAGCACCGCCCAGAACAACACCCGGCCCCACCACGAAGTGGATCCAGTCCCCGGCCCCAGGGATCCGAGGCCCCAGGGGCGCCCAACCCCCAGACAGAAGCCCCAGCAAGGCCCCGGCCGGCCAGGGCAGCGGAGAGGCCACCAGGAATGAGCCGGCAGCCACCCAGGCATCCACACCCAGACCCCGAGCCCCACCAGTGCACCGGCAAGCCCTGACACCAGCCAGCGGAGGGAGAGCAGGACGGGGGGAATGGGCTCCGCAGTTGGCGGAGACTTGAGATGTATTTGGGAGGGGGTGCAGTTGGGACCCCAACCTGGGAGAGGAAAAAAAAAAAAAACACACTCACAATCTCAATTATGCCATCCCTCCCTAGTGTCCCCACTAGCACCACAGGAAAAAAAAACTAATAAAAAAAATAATAAAATAAAGTAAATAACTAAATAAATAATAAAAATAAATAAAATAAAAACGCGGACACACATTCACACATAACACTCGCATCCAATAATACCAGGCCAAAGACCCGGCGGCACCGGTGGTTGGTGCCGGGACTATCGGATGACCCAATAAGTGGACCTAAAATCCGGATGGGGCGAAGGGGAGCGGCGACACCGCCACAACATCGGGCCGACTTTCAGCCTGATCGTGCATCGTGAGTCATGTAGTGTACAGGGGGTTACGAGGGGCGATCAGCCTCTAACGAAAACTTCCCGATCAGGAATTGTGAGGTCGGGAGAAAATCATACGTTTGATTTTCTACCGATCATTGTGTTCAAATTGCTCAGTGTGCATGCGCAAACAAGGATTCTTCTTTTTCTTCTTCCTCTCAGATGTAAACACAGCACACCCCCAGAAAGATAAGTCTTTACCTGTGTCATCAGTGGTATCACACAGAGGCAGGAGAAATCAAAGAGTCAAAGATAGGGATCTTCCCTAGTGGAATCTCATATTTTAATGTTAGTCTGTTCAGAGCACAGGATTGTACTGTAACTCGTTTCTGCTTTCCAAAACAAGGCAGATCACAGTTCCTCAAATTGTTAAATTCAGTCTCTTTATGCAAAGTCTCCAGCTATAGTCTATTGAAAATTCATCCATCTATCCATCCATCCATTATCTGACACGCTTATCCCGAGTGGGGTCGCGAGGGGTGCTGAGTGAGAGGCAGGGTACACCCTTGACAGGTAGGCAATCCATCGCAGGGCGTCTATTGAAAATATTCTAAATAAAAAATTTCCTCGATGTAAAATAGTAAAAGAAAAAAACAAAACAAAAACTGTCCTAACATCCCCAGAACCAGTCAATAGTCTGTTGTAGATAGTCTGCATATCTGAACCCCTGACCAGATCCAAAAATCTGCAGGTAACATAATATCTTCCAATATGTGTTATATCAAATAGGCTATCGTATTACTTGTGATGGAGTGGCGACCTGTCCAGGGTGTACCCCGCCTTAAGTTAAGTTAAGTTAAATTCAGGTTTTCTCATTGCGGGGTGTATAAAATGTATGGTTACCCATTGCCCATCGTTAAAAATATAACTTCTGTAATGCTAAATTTATATCAGTCCGCAGTTAAAAATTAACAATCTGTACATCTTTTATACTGTGTGCAACAGCATGTTGGGGCGGCCATTTCCTGAGTTTTTAAACCTATTGTCTGGAGTTTTGTAGTCCAACCTACTCCTTTGCAATAGGATAGGAGCTGCCATTTTATGAGTTCCACAAGCTAATATATGCCTACCTTTGTAGTCCAACCCTACCCTCCAGGTCACCTGATAAGGTCCACCATTTTGTGATTCACACTCCCTGGTATTTTTCCTTAATATTTAGTGCAGTGAGCATGGTGAGGCTTTTGAAAACCACTTTTCTCAGTATATAATGTCGGAGAATGAGCAAGGCAGTTATTGTTGGATCTTTTGTATTGATAAACCTGCTTGTAATTTTGTGTTATAATGCTGTACATAATTTGGATAATAAATATAGAGTATATGCAACATATTTGTTTTTAATTTTGTTCATAGTCTAAACCTGATATGTTATCAATATGACAAATTAGATCCCGCTGTGTACTTGTTTAAATAGCACTGTGTTGGAAAAAATGCTGCTTTAGATTTTTAAATAAAGATTTCTTCACAACAATTGCTCATATCCTCATAATCTTTCACATTGGACATATGTGGGAATGTTTGTATTGATTGTGAAAATTGAAGTGTTTAGCTTTATTGAGATAGTTGAAGTTAAAGATGCTAGTATTGGGGGCAAAAAATTTCAGAAATTTTCCAAATAAGTTTAA